TTGATGTTGGCCGACTAGTCCATACAGTTAACTAATATCAGAGTCGGCGCGAAATGGATTTTCCCATTGATAGCTGTCATTGCTTGCTAAGGGGCACAGTTTTCGCACCAATTGTTGCCCAAGCAGGGGAGGAGATGGAGATGAAGCTGGCGCAGTGAACCAAGAAATGAGCAAAAATTCAAATATTTTTCAAATTAAACTTAAAAACACTTGACTTTGCTAAGCGGCATACAGCTTTTTGTTAGCCAAAACGGTTTTTACACTTGACTTCAAATCGCTCAAAGGCAACGACTAATGCCAACTCCGACGCGTTTGGACCAACACAAAAAAAAAGAAGTATATATATATAGGTCGGTAGTTGAGGGGGCGTTCCACGAGAATTGGCGGGTTACGCATCAAAAGCCCTATGAAAAATGACCAAAGCTGGCAGCGCCAAATTGAAAGCAAGAAAAAATATGGCTGAAATGTTGCTTTTTCAAACGGCCAAATAGCCAAATAGCCAAACTCCTGCCTTGCCACGATGTCGATGGCGATGGCGATGACGATGACGATGATGATGACTGCGCTTGGATGCTCCAGGCCCCGGCTCCGGCCCCGTTTGGTGCCGTCCATGATGAATGCGCGCAGTAAGACCCTCAAAGCGATTGGGAAGCGGGGGACGCGCTAACATTCCGCGTCCGCAGCGCAAATGAAATTGGAAAATGTGCCGGCAAGCGAAAAGAAAATATGAGCAGTCGGTGCAGACGGATGGCCATAATGGCCACCGAAATGAAAAATAGTCAAGCTGAACGCCGAACGCCGAACGCTGAACTCCGAAACGCCGAACGCAAACAATTTGAGCAGCCATCGATACGCAGCGGCGACCGTTTGAAAAATCATTTTTATGCGTTTATGGTTTATGCGGCTCAAAGTGCGCCCATATGAATTACGAGCCCAACAATCCCCAAGCCAATGCGACCAGTTTCCACTGGGATGGATTGTCAGTGGGCCCAACAATTTATTGCCGCTTCGACGCACGCCAAATGAATATTGGCCAAGCGCAAAGTGGGCCGACTGCCAGCGCTGGCAACTATTGCCAATATTTGTATTTCGCGTTTGTGTTTGGCTTTGCCACAAATTAAAAAGAAACAAAAGAATCCAGCAAATAAAGACAATCATTTTCAATTCCACACTGGGAGAGTGGAGTATAAAGATTATCTCGATAGTTCACGCTATGAAAGCTGTACATAATTATGCCGCATTCAGCTGGGTTCACAGCTCAGCATAAACATTGAATCAGACAAGTCGTTCCAAAAGTCTAATTATAAACAAAAGCAAAAATGGTATTTCGCAAGTTAAACAAACCAAATGTGGGTGCGACAATAACAAACAACCGAAGACAATGCAGCTCAGCATGCAAACTCCCACACTTTGGATACGAAAAGGAATCGAAGTTAATATGTTCGGATCAAGCGGCTGTGGTTCGGCCTGTATATGGGAGTGCAGCAAAGTTGACATTAAGCAAACAGAGCATTTTTTCATAGCGTTCAATGAGAGAAATGCTGCCCAAAAGTGAATTGTGCACACGCTGCGCCACTTCACATACAACACACACACACACAACACACACGCAACACACACATAGGGTCTGCTGCTCACTCTGCTGACTGTCTGTCGAGCAGACAGCATGTCTGTCAATGCTGCTGCAGCAACGGCAACTGGGAAACCGGAACGGGCAATCGTGGATCGGTGTTTGAGATCGGGGCTGTTGACACAAGCCTGCACACCGGGCAGGAACTAATTTGGCAGAAGCGAGCGAGTTTATGAAATCTGAAATCTAAACATCTGCAAAATTACGCGCATAAATCCTTTAACACTTTTGTCTTTGGACCCTGGGACCGAGCTGTGCTGGACTTGGGGGTTGCACTCGCCACGCAGGGGCTCGTCAAATTAGCCCACTTCAGGCTGTGGCATGCAGCGTGCTCATAGCGGGTGCAACTACTGCTCCGCAGCCTTTGTTTACACACTTTACAAGAACTGGCAGTGTCCTTTTTTCCTATTTATTCTATAGCTCTTATTTTTTGCTTTTGCCTGGCCAGCAGTCAGCGCGCGTGTTGTTGATGGATCTCTTCTACTCGTTCTCTCCCTTCGAGTCATCACAGGCTGCAGCTGCAGTTGTTATTGTTGCCAAGACGTTGGCTGCCCATAAAAATAAAAATAACTTGGCCTACGCCTGGAGTGGGTCGTGCGTCTTGGTAAAACAAACAAACAAAAGCAATGACACCACCCGCCCCAAACAAGAACGTCCTTCTACTTGACTGCTCCTCAATGGGCATGAATAGTTGCCTAGGTCGGCGAGCCCGCCCCTAATGACCCCTATCGCTCGATGTCTCGATGCCTCAATGCCTCGATGCCTAATCATATATCGATGATTCCTTGCTTGGCTCTGCTCTGTTTGCTGCTTGATTTCACACACAAATGCCACGAGGTGGTCCCTGGATCGTCTTCGCTTTGCCCTCTGCTTCATGCTTCATGCGGCGTGCATCCTTGGGCACATTTTCAAGCCGTCTTATGTGGCTGCCAGTGGCTTCTCTTTTTTTACCACTTTCCATTCTCGGTCTGCCAGTTTACTTGTTCTCGATGCCTCTTTAGCGCTTATCATGCTCAAATGATAATTGAAGTGCCACACAAAAACTATTTATCCTCGGGCTGTCGAGCGTACTCTTCTAGCTGTTGTTGTTGCTGTTCTTGTGGTTATTCAATATTACTCTGCTCACAATACAACCACTCCCATACACACACACACACAGAGACATATAAATAATGCGTGCAATGAGGCTCGCGCTACCCTTTGCCGTTTTTTATGTTTTTGTTTTTAGATATTTTATTAAATTTGTTTCTAGTACCCAAACATTTGGCTTGGGCACAAGCAATCCTGTTCCGGCCGCTGCCTGTGACATTTTCCACTCTTTGCCCATTGTCAACTTGATTTCATTACCTCTGCCGCCGCCGTCATCATCATAGCTACCTATTCAGAGAAGTAGGGTTTTGTATTTGGCCAGGGTATTATGCGATTGTTGCTAGGGCTAATTGAATTGTCGCGCTGATTCGTATCTCTGGCTGATACACAATGAGTCAAAACGCATATTTATGTGTATATGAGTCAGTTAATCTTTATGACACGCCGTAAATAATAATTTGCACGATAACTTCATGGTTTAGCCAGGATCTTGGCCTGAACTAGCCCAATTATATACACAGTCCGCCCTCCAAAAAATAGTAGTAATAATGGGCTATAAAACTTCGCATGTGGCTGTGGACTTTGTTCAGGTTATTATAGATTATTTACATGTATAACTCTGACGTAACTACGTAACATAATTAGGAAAATATTTTAAATGGGCCACATAAAAAGTTAATCAGAGTACAATAAAGTTTTTTGAATGAATATCTGAGCTTGAAATGCGCTTCAGTTTCGGAAAATTCTAAAGTCCTGCCATAGCCTGCTTCAATGGCATTAACAGTTTCTTGGCATACACTGCATTGGCAGCAGTTACAACAAGAAACAGCAGGCAGAAGTGTAGAGAAAACAAGAGAAAGACGTTAAGTTTTGTGCAAAATCGCCATAGCCAAAGCCCAGTCTTAAGCCAAAAGCCAACTAGAAGTTACCAAAAGCAGAAAACAAAAGAAGAAAGCCCAAGCCCAAGCCCAAGCCCAAGCCAAAGCCAAGGCAACGGTAAAAGCAGCAACAGCAGCTGAAGCAGAGCCAAACTTTTGTGCACAGCGCCATGTTTGGTTTGTCTTGGCAGTTTCCGCCATCTCCTTTTTGTTGTTGTTGCTTTCGGCTTTCTTTTTGTGTTCAGCCTGCAAGTCTGTTTGTGTGTGTGTGTGTGTAAGTGGGTGAGCCAGTGCGACAGCAAGGAGCCAAAGCTGGTTGACTGCTCGACTGACAGTTTGCTGCGTTTTTGTAAGCATACAACTATACAGAGTGCCGATATCTTTGTCCCAGAGCTATGCTGCGCCTTCTGCCACTTGCAACACCCTGTTGCGACTGGCATTGCTGCTGCCCAACTTATACAGCCAAACAAAAAGTAGAAAGCAAGTGGCAAAAAAGACAAGGCCGTCGTTAGCAGCATGTATTTGGTCCACTCAAAGTAGCAGCAGCAGCACAAAAAAAGAAAATGCCATAAGAAATGGCCAATGCAGCGTGCAACGAACACACCAAAGTTGCCGCGACTCTAAGTATGTCTTTGTGCGCAATCAGCAAACACCAAACGGCAAACACCAAACACCCAAGCGCCACAGCCGCCCCCACCAGCTCCAGCAGCAGCCCCAGACCAACCGCCCAGCTGAGAACTTTGCTAGAAATTTATGCCAAGACGATAAAAAAATAAAAGTTCAAGTCGGTGGCTGATGACGGCTGCGACAACGACAACGACATCGACAACGACGACAACAACGGCAACGATTCATGCAATTCCCCTGCGTAAGGGCTTCGACGGCATGCGCACCAGGGAAAATGGTTGCCGGGGAAGCGGCCAGCCAATCGGAGCGTCGCTGAGGTGTGGCCTCTGCGAGCAAAGGGAAATTACGCATGAGTAAATTTCCCTCGCTGCTAATAATCACTTGAGACATGCGCAGTGCGCGGCAGGGGCACAGGGTTTGGGGGTTGGACATTGGCTGGCTTTGTTGCATGCAACCCTTCGCATGCATTGGGAATTTCCCAGACTCATTCTCAGTCGCCGCCGTTGCTTTTGTAAACATGCGCAGGCGCACTGCAACCAACTAGCCGAGTGTGAGTGAGTGAGTGTGTTGTATTGCGTGCGGGGGTACATTTTAGGCTGGGACTTTTGGCCGCCGCAGTCAGCAGTCGGCATCGAGCACTGAAGGCAAAGTGAAATGCTTTGATTTCGCTGATTGTTCGATCACACGCAAACTGACAGCGGACTCAGCTGGTTGTCAGCGCGCTAGCCACAGCATCTGGCCGATACAAGTATTCAACTCGTGCAAGTGTTCGTGTTTAGAGTTTTGTTTATACGTCTGCAGCATCTTATACCGATTACATGTGCTTTAAGCAACAGACAACATTCAAAGCAACTGCAAATTGAACTGAACTGAAAACAAAGGAAGAGTGCGCGCGTCTAATTGTGTCAATAAAATGTTGGAGTTTTATCCAATGCCCACGAACCTCAATCAAGTCGGTGGCAGTTTATATTCGCTGCAGCAGAACCATGGGGGCGCACGTTTCCTGGACAGTCCCAGTGCAACGGCCAACGTAAATAGCAACATGACAACCGCCTGTTTGTCCAGCAACAACTGCAACAGCAACAACAACAATGGCCATAATAACGCGAACAACAGCAACAGCAATTTGTCAGCAAACATTTCCGGCAACATCAACAGCAACAGCAACAATCCAGCAGCAACAGCTTCATTAACGGCATCTGTAATTTCCTCGCAACAACAACAACAACTTCAGCAGCAACACGCGGTCTCACCAGCGCCAATTAACAGCTGCCCAACGCCCACAGGTCACAGTCCCATCAGCAGCAGCAGCAGCAACAACAACAACAATAATAATAACAGCAAGAGCCAAAACTCCGCCTGCAACACATTAACAGCTGCTGCTGCTGCTGCCGCAACAACAGCAACAGCAGCCGTCTCTGCCTCATCAGCAGCAGCAACTGGAAGTGGAGCCACGGCAGCCTCTGCAGCAGCGGCAGCGGCGACGGCGTCGGCTTTGGCGCTGGCGTCAGCATCGAAATTGTCTGCCGATTGCAGTGGACGCACAGGTATGTTCCAAAAGTATTTTGCACCGGCAGTTGAGGCATTTACCGGCTCGTTCCGTTTCCGTTGGGGGCTGCCACGTTTTTCGTTTTTGGCATAGTTGTGTGTGCTGCCTGGCGTGTGGGGCATGGCCAGATTCTGGCAGCTGGCTGGCTGTTGGCTGCTGGCTGCTAGCGGTGCGTTGGGGCAAGCAGGCGTTGCTCGAAGACCCAATATGCTTGGCTCTACGTCCAACGTGTTCAACTTACGGCTAGTTTGCATTGCTGGCCCGCACTCCCCACACTTCCCCCCGCCCTGGCCACTCTCAAAGTTGGCCCAAATTATTTTCGCAATTTGCGTGTGATATTCTAGGTTTTGGGGCTGCGTCTCGCATTTGCCGCTGATGTGGCTGATGCTTGAAACCTTTAATTCACTTTCAGTTTGTTCATCAGTTCATCAAATGATTTTTGAAAATGATGAGCTTAGAAACCAGAGAATAATAAAATTTATTTAAAAATATAATTTGATCGAAAACAATTTTTCTTAATTTCAAATTAAAAACTAAAACCATTTGGCATTGGAATTGAATTTTCTTTTAAATGACCTTAAGAACTATGTTCAATTGAGTTCTGTACAAACTATACTAATGCTCAAACAGTTTGTGAATTGGCTATTGGGCTTAGGAAACGTTTGCTAATAAAAACACATAAACCGAAATTGTGGCCAGGGCAAAACCAAATAAAATTTAATTGATTTGCAAGAGATATGCAAATGGAGCTTTGAGGCTCCAGCAAATGAATGATAATAACAATTGTTTGTTCCGACGGCAAAAGCATAACCAAAACTATGAACGCAAGTTGACCACAAAATAATTTTGACAATGAACCTCACTGACACACGCTGTGAGTGTGCATGCAACCAATAAAAGGCGATTAAGGCATGCAACAGACTCCCACTCACACACTTACCCACACACACACACACACAGACACCCACTCATTGCAGGCGCCTCGAAGTAGGCAACACTTTTTAGCAGCTGCAACGAAAGTGTTGCTGGCAAACTTTACGAAATTCTGGCCAAAATGCAAAGTGTGCAAACAATGTGTGTATGCATATGCGAACCCGGACAAACTGGGCGAGCTCTGTCAAGCACGCAAATATTTCGCCACACACACACACACACACACGCACGTATGCACAACCACACGGCTGTGCTGTGGGGCGGGCTAGCTTTATGCTTGTATTTGCATATGAAATGTCTATTAATGCCTGGCTAAAATGGCAGCAAATAGTTTCCGTTTGCCAATCACTTTACTGCCAGACTTCGGGAGCATTGCTCATCTATGAATTTGAATTTGAATTTGACGCCGAAAACCAAACCGAAAACCGAAGTCAAGCTGCAGCAGCAGTTGCAAATGGTTCAGGAATTTCCAGGCGCTTGGCAGCCCCCAACCACGGAAATGAAAACACTCAAGAGCTAGAGCCAGAATCAGAGTCAGGAGTTTGCAATCAGCTAGCTACAATCTGGCCCACCTTTCAGACTGAAGCTGACACCGATGTCAGCTATGTCAGCTAGTGTGTGCCATATGCATAGCTGGCAGATTTGCGTGGAGTTGGGCTGGGCGAGCTTTAAATTGCGGCCGCAGTAATTAAAGCCCTCGTATCATGAGCTGTCACAAGCTGTCTGCCAAAATCTCCGTGCCACGTGGACTTTTTGGCCGCGACTTGAGCCCAAAATTTATGCCACAACATTTGCTGCTGCTGCTCTGTCATCAATTTATCATCATAGACCTGCGCTCGCCTGTCAATGTGTCAATAAATGGGCCATAAAGTCGAGTTACGGGTGTAGTTGGATGGTAGGGCTAGGAGTGCCTCTGTCCTAATCAGAGACGCCGTTCGCTGTCCCTGATAAGGCAAATGATGATAACGCGATCACAGCCGATAACAGCCTGGGTTGCTGTCGTCTATTAACTGTTTGCCTATGTTTATGGGTGCCCGCGTTTATCAACGAGTTGATTTTGGAATTATCTGCTGTTTAATCGCGCCATTTGACATGAGTGTCTCGCACTTGTTTTAGCTGTGTTTGTGTTTGTATTTGCTGTTCCTTTGCCATGCCGACAAGCTTCGCCCGATCGGGACGAGTGCTAATCAATCAGCAGCCCCGCCGTCAGCTTCTGTTGCGCTTCCATGTGTACATTCATTCCAATGGGAACAATGCAAATACATTTCTGTTGTTTTTTGTATTGTTTTCAATTTGAATAGCATATGCACAGCGCGTTTGATCACATTTCGCAAATGCGTCAAATACACAGAAAGTGTCCTTTGACTGCAACGAAACAGTAAAAAACGTAACTCCATAAAACTGCAGCAAAGGTCATAAATTCCGATTAGATTACACAAAGCGAAATGTCAATGGTTTTTGCACCACAAAAAGACAAAACACACCACGATATCGCATTCACAATGTTCGCAGGACACAGTCGAATTGTCAAAAAGGAATTGGAAAATGGGACTTATCAAATGATCCTAAAACCCCGGCCTAAAACTTTCCTGCAGCAATATTTGCGCGTTATCACCAATGCGATTTGATACACACACATACACGTACATACACATAGACACATGGACACACAAACACACATTTAAAGCAGCGCATCGCACTGCAGCTGCTTTTTATAGCATACTTTTGAGGGCGCACGTTATAGCAAACGTTATACCAACAGCTATTCGCATCATTGTCATCAGCAGAGCTGCTGCCTGCCCCATTTGCATGTAGCTGCTCTCGCTGCTTCCCCTGTTGTCAGTTTAACGCTGCGCTGGCTTAGCAATCCAGGCAGTTGCACAGCCCAGGCTCTGAGCTGTTTTCACTGCTCGCTTTGCGCCCACACATAGACACCCACACACACACGCAGATCTGGCTGGGGGCTGCCATTGTGCCAACCATAAATCATACACATTTTTCTGCCAGTGAGCCACAGTCATATAATATGGGAGCAGCTCCGCTGAGTCCTGTCGCCTTCGCTCCCCGGACTCCCTGACTCCCTGTCGTTTATTTTTCAGTTGCTTTCAACCAACTCTCGTGGCGCTCGTCATTTCTCTTTTTATGTTTACTGCAGCTTTTGTTGTGCGTCTCCTTTTTTTTACCACTTTTTATGACTGGTTTACAGTTTGAAGTGTGCGTGCATGTGCAGAGATTAGTCGACTTACTCCTACACCCATATTAATCTTCGTGTGTGCTAGGCATTGCTGTTGTACTAGAGTCTAAGCTACATTTGGCTAGCTGGCTAGAAGAGCTATGGTGGCTATTAGCTGGCGAGCTGTTAAAGAGTAGCTAAGGTTATTTATCAGCTTGGATTTATAAAGTGATTTCATCGATATGCAATCACATTTAAGGCACAGTTAAAGTCATCCTGGAGAGCAACGGCCAAGTTTGAGTAGACTCTCAGTGGAATAGTCTTAGAGTAACCTCCACCAATACAAGTCTAGACATACTTGCTAGCCTTGTGGCCTACGCTACTTTGCACTCGACACATATTCATGTAATGCCACTCACAGCTCCTTTCAGTTGTAAGTGCACTTCTATTGGCTGTTTGGGGCTCATCAATTTCAGACTGGCAAAATTTTAGCAAACTTTACGTTTCAATTACGCATCAAGGAGCTATCAATACAAGCTGTTACCGCGCCGGAGACGGCGACAGCATCAGCGACAGCGACAGATAATTTTTTTCTCTCCTTTGTTTCACTTTTGACTGCCGGGCGCCAGAAGTGCGAAACAATGAGCATAAGCACAACAACAGACGGGGCACAAAAACAACAAAAAAAAACATTTTCACACGATTTGACAACGTACTCGCCTTCATACTTCATACTTCATTCGCGTCCTCTTGAACACTCAGCAGCGACATATGCTGCCAGCACGTAGGGGATCAGCTCTGCCTTCTTCCTTTTGGCTTTACAGTGGGGTAGGAAATCGATTTTATTGCTCGCTAACAACCATTATTGTGATTGTCTCTTGCAGAGGTTGGCCACATAAAATGCGAGAAGAACTACGAGCTGTGCGAGGGCTGTGGGCAGAAGATCCATGATCGCTACTTGATGAACGTGGGCGATGCCAACTGGCATGAGCAGTGCCTCGCCTGCTGCTACTGCGGCTTGCAACTGCATCACACCTGCTATGTGCGCAACTCGAAGCTCTACTGTAAGCTGGACTACGATCGTCTATTTGGCGTAAAGTGCGCCGGCTGCTGCCATGCCGTGCTGCCTCAGGAGCTAGTGATGCGACCCATACCCAACTATGTATTCCATCTGCCCTGCTTCGTATGCTACGCCTGCCGCCTGCCGCTCCAGAAGGGCGAGCAGTTCATGCTGCGGGATGGCCAGCTCTTCTGCTATCGCCACGATTTGGATAAGGAGATGTTTCTGGCGGCCGCTGCTGCCCAGCACTGTGGCTTCGTTGGCCTGGACGAGGAGGATCTGCTGCGGCCGCGGGACGGGCGACGCGGACCAAAGCGACCGCGCACCATTTTGACCTCCCAGCAGCGTAAACAATTCAAGGCCTCGTTCGATCAGTCGCCCAAGCCGTGTCGCAAGGTACGCGAGGCGCTGGCCAAGGATACGGGTCTGTCTGTGCGTGTAGTGCAGGTGTGGTTCCAGAATCAGCGAGCTAAGATGAAGAAAATCCAGCGCAAGGCCAAGCAGAATGGTGGCGCCACGAGCGGCTCAGGCAGTGGCCGAGGCAATAGCAATGCTGGCGCCTCCGATGACAAGGATGCCAGCGAGAAGGATGAGAAATGCGTGAAACAGGAGCATGGCGTCGACAATGTGGGCTTCTTGGGCGGCATGGACAGCGCCTTCGCCAGTCAGCCGCTTAATCCGAACTTGCCCTTCTCACCGGATGGTAAGTTTAACTCATCTTAAGTTTATTTTCGTTTAATTAAACTAATTATTTTCTTGTTTGCAGACTATCCGGCCAATTCTAACGACAGCTTCTGCAGCTCCGACCTCTCGCTGGACGGCAGCAACTTTGACCAGCTGGATGATGACGCCGACTCGTTGTCTTTGAACAATCTGGAGCTGCAGTCGACCAGTTCGTCGGGCAATCACAACCAGCACTCGAATCCCCACGACATGCTGGCCAATCTGAACACGAGCCTTATCAATCCCATCGACAAGCTGTATCTCATGCAGAACTCGTACTTCAGCTCGGACCATTAGACAGGGACGGACACAGACAGACAGAGACGGAGTCGTAGTCATACGAATTTATTAGCGTTAGAGTTGCGAGCATATGTTGGTAGGCACTGTAACTCATTAGTTAACGGGCAACTAAGTCATTTCGCCAGTCGGCTTTTTTTTGGTGGGAAAGTTGAGATTTTAAGTAAAAATGATCAAATGTGATTTTTAAGCTAAACGAAGTTTTAAGAAAATTGCATTACAGCGATATAAACGAGACGTAATGCGAAAATTATTGTTAGTTCGACTTAAGTAAATAAGTAGAGAAACCGAAAGATAAAATCAATGTGAGCCTATGTTTGTAAATAGTTTTAGAACCAAAAAATTGTTATGAAAATGTAATTTAAATTAAACAGTCAATAAATTATGTATTAGCAAGTGCAATTTAAACAGCTTGTTATCCATATTTCTTAAATACCAATATAACAATTTATATTGGTTCACATTTTTTGAGCTTATGTTAACTGTCCTCACTATCTGATGCTTAACAATCTGCACTCAGTGTAAAAGTTTATATTTATGCTGGTGGCGCTCTCTAGGGGCTGTGTCTGTTACGCGCTTTCAAAGTTTTTGATGCTGGTATCGCTTTGTTAGCGCACTAGTGGTGAATGAATGCATTTTCAGTTCTTATGATTGCTAGTGGCGCTCTCTACGAGTCGTGACTTAGAAAATGTTCTCGAGTATGAAACATTACCTTCAACCAACTTCATGGCAGTGAAGCTTTGTCTTCTGGCCGATAGATGGCGGAGCGCACTGTTATCATAATTGTGTAATGTCAATAACAGTTTAGCTTATGTTAAGTTTCTAGGGTGCCCTCAGTTTTAGTTGTACCAGTGTTGAGAATCAACAGTGCCAGACGTAAGAAGAAGCAGATTTAATAAACAATCTAGAAACATTTAATTTACAATGGTAAGTAAGAAATATATGTGAATAACGCTATTTAACTAATAAATTCATGATGTATGCAGCTATTCTATTCGTTCTTCAAATCGCTGGTGGGCAAAGAAGTCGTGGTCGAGCTAAAAAATGACCTCAGGTAAGAGTCGCTTTTGGCGCGTGTCAATCCATAAAAATAAAACTAAAGCCGGTAAATTTTCAGCATTTGCGGCACGCTGCACTCTGTGGATCAGTATCTAAACATTAAACTGACAGACATCAGCGTCACAGATCCCGACAAATACCCGCACATGTTGAGCGTCAAAAACTGCTTCATCCGCGGCTCAGTGGTACGCTACGTCCAGTTGCCCGGCGACGAGGTGGACACACAGCTGCTGCAGGACGCAGCACGCAAAGAGGCAGTGGTTAGCACGAGATAGAATGATACAGAAAGTCTGCGGTACGAATTACATATATGTTAAGCTGAGTTTCCATGCCTAAGAAAGTCCCCCACTGCGCGATGTACATTGAGTTGTCTTTGTTTCTGACCTACATCTAAGTGAAAAACTGTTAAAGAAAAAAGAAAAAATAAGTCAAGAAATTTAATTGAAAATAGATTATTTACTAAAATGCAAAAACAACTACTTTCTATATGTACGACCTTTTAGTCGAACGATATTCTATTTATGGAATATGTTAGAGGCTTGTGGTGTAATGAAGGCATTCTTGTACATATGTAATACATTCAGTTTATGTACGGGCCATAAATTTTTGATGAGTCACTTGGGGCTTTCCATTCAACCTTTATATGCGAATTTTTTATGTTTTTGTTTTGATGAGCTACGAAATCATTATTGGTCTACGCATGAATGGCATTAATCGTTGAGAATTGTATTATAAAAGGACGCTTGTAGCATGAGCAGAAGAAACAAAATGTTTTTAGGTCAAAGGGAATCAACGATTCATGTTTTGTTGTTGTTTTGATATCAAGGAACACGTTTTGTTGATGTATTGCAAGGGAAGTCAGACTTAAAATATGTGTACTTGTGCTCCATTGAATCTATTGATTTCTGCGCTGGCATTAATTGTTAACTAGAATTTTCAATTTCATTATTGACTTGAGGTAGCAGCTGTCCCTGCACACGCTTTTAAATCGTCATTTAAACTGGGTGGGCAATCGAAATACTTTAAATATCCGAGCCAATTTATCACAGTGGCTGCAAAGCTATGTGACGTGTCGTAGCTGGAAGTTGTCAATTGGAATTAGGAATTTGTTTTGTGTGAAGGGAACTTGTGGGCTAACACAAAAAAGAGTGTCGCCTTCGGGGTGCACAGTTTATGACATTCGAATTTAAATTCACGAGCTCACAATATTCAACGCGGTGCTCAAATGCCAAACAGATGCCCTATTTAGGGAATTATTTGGTGAAATATCGTGCCATCAAATGATGGACGTGTCACTCTGTTTTGTTGTCTGCCTGGCTATAATTGTCGCCCAACGTTGAGAACGTGGACGCGACCATGGCCACCACGGTGTGTCCAGCGCACCTCCTGTGGAGTTTTCAGTGCGCATAAATAAAAACAAACTTCGGTCAAACATTAAACGCCCAACATCAGCGTCAGTGCCTGTGTTAGGCCCAGCCCCATGCATCCGCCAGCTTTCCACGTTTTCCATTATTTTGTTAAATTGGTTTCGACTTTTTTTTATCAAACAACAGCGAACGAAAATTTCGCAGCAAATATTTGGATGAAGTGAAGTTGATTCCTTTGCTCGTTTCACAACGCTTTGTTTTGCATTTGAACACGAACTTTGCAGTTATAAAAATATGTAGCCCGCCAACTGTTGGCTAGGGAGTGAACTGGAGAAGATTGTCGTTTACTGTGAGTGTGCCACGTTGGGTTGGGGTACTAATAACAAGGCAGCGCGCAGCAACGCAACAGCCCAACCACCCAACCGCCAAACTGAGCTGTGCATAAAAGTGTAATATGCCAGCCGATGGGTTGGAGTTTAGCTAGATTTACGAGCTTAAGCACAGGCATTGTCATTGGCATAGGCATAGACATTTTGGGATTCCGGGCGCTAGTTCATCAACGTGTTGAATTGTGCGTGTTGCGTAAAAGTTTGCTCGTAAAATTTTTTGCAATGCTCTCATTCGGTTTTTATTAAAAAATAAACTATACAAATTTTACAGAGATTATCTAAAATGTACAAAAAAAACACACACATAGAAAGAGCTGGAGCACATGCACATACATACAAACATTTATATTGTCCTTCGTAATACCATGTTCAATAATGGATGCTTTTGTCAAAAACTAAGTTAATTGAAAGTTCAAACAAATCCCATGGCATTTGTCAAGCATCCAACAAGTTCAGTCTGTTACATATAGCTTTCCATTTTGGCCACAAACACTCATGTATATATGTATGTAGGTGTATATAAATGTTTGTCGGTATGCACAAATGAAGTAAACATATATAGAAAAGTTAAGTACACGCCTCTTAAGTATTATGGGGACTTAGTCGATGTAATTAACCTGTTTGGATTACAACTGCCGCACTAATCCAGGTAGCTATAACATTACAGCTAATTTCGGTAGCTAGTTCGGTGTTCTGCTCTGTTCGTTGTCCGGCTTCACATAGTAACTACTCTGCCTATGCTCTGCATTTGATACTGCTTATATTATATTATATTTATATATATAGAGCGATGCTACTAAGTAATTAAAATTGCATATACATAAATTGGTATCGCATAAAACGTGTTTTTTCCCCGCATTCGAAATGAGCTCTCGCGCAGCTGAGCTTTATGGCGATTAAAATATCATCAAATTTACATTTAGACTCCCCTTTCTACAGACAGACACACACACTCACACACATAAATACATAATTGAATATGTAAGTGGACCGGCACGCATCTCTCGCCTTTAGTTAGCTGTCAGCCACACTCTTATGTCCTACACTCACTAATGTCTAGCCATTTTCAACTAAGCCTACAGTTACGACTACGCACACGAACAGTGTTCAAAGACTTAATTCTCAGTTAGTTTAACTAATCAAATGTTGCACGGCTCGATGATCTGATCATCGGCAACGTCCTGCCGCGCCTCGCTCCACCTCGCTGGCAACGCTAACTTGAACAACCTCACGAGCACTGGAAGAGTCGTGTATCACGCACGGTGGTCGCGTCTTAACTGTACATTTCACAGCAGCTTAGACTGGTTTAGTGTGCGGGCGAACCGGTGGCCTCTAGGAGTCCCTGTTGGCGCCGCACTAGCTCCTGGCTCAGGCAACGGCAGCAGGAGCAAGCATCCTCCACCGCGCGCATTGTCGCACCCACCTCTGCCTCGACCGTCACCATCGCCGCTAGCTCTGCTCACACACTTGACACCCGTTCGTTGTTGTCCGTCAGGAGGCTGGCACCCGCCAGCAGCTTGTGTCCATTGGCCACGCCCACACCCACGCCTCCACGCTGGCTGTCGTAGTTGAGCACGAGCGTGGATGGCGTGGACTGTAGCAGCAGCTGTTCCTGTTCGCGTAGACAGCCCGAATGCCTGGCAGCGATTGCTGAGCTGTGATTAGGATGTGGGCTGCGCACGGTTGAGCTTTTCCTCATCATCTGAGGCGTGGCAGCGCAGCCTGAGGCATTGCCCACCTGCAACAGGCCCACCTGTTCCTTGAAGGGTCCACCGGCAGTGCCGTTGCTTGAGCTGCGGTAGTAGCTCTGTTGCCGAAAGGTGCGCAGATGCCTCCCACTGCCACCTGCATCCACCTGGGTCACGGCCGTCAGCATTGAGGGAGTGCGCTGCGAGTCGCCTCTATAAAAAAAGGGCATTAATACTCGGTTTGCTCGAAAGAAGAGACCTCGACCCGAAGACTATTTACCTGTTTAAGCTGTATGCATTGTTGTTTCCACCACCTGTTCCAGATTTGTTGCCTTTGCCGGGGCAGAGATGAAAGGCGCCATAGATGAGCGGGTTTACGAGGCTGTTCGACATGCCGAAGAAGAAGATGGCATCCTGCAACTCGTCGCCCAGCTACATGCAAGCGAGTCAAATACAAATTAATTTCAAGTCCTTCGACAGCATTTCAATATGGCAGTTATTTTGTAAGTTTCTTATGGCTTGTGGTTTGCCAGCCTGACCAGGCTAGCAGCTTGAGTCGTTGTTGGTTTTACCTTTTTTTGTTTATTGTGCTGTCGTAAGACCTTATGCTACATGCTTTTACGGTCAACCGTAACCAAGTCAACAGCCCGCAGGCCTAGCCCATATGCCCAGACCATTAATTAAAAATTGTGCATAAAAAATAATTGTGATGTGCTCTCGGCCCCAGTCTGTTTACAGCCCAGCAAAGCGCGGCAAGAAATTGCGTAAAAATGTAGCTATAAAAAAGGATGTTGGAACAGCTGCTGACTGAACCAATTGCTTTGCAGCCGAGCAGCCCCGTGCCGTGCATTTCCCAGCAAAATGCTCATTTTATTTTCAACTGGCTCCCGTCATAGCATAAAGCACGTCAAGCCAAGCAAAAAATCAGCTCGCTCAACCCGCCCACACCAGGGATCGACAGTTGATTGATGTGCCTTCAAAATGTTGTGAAATGCCTTCGGTGAAGCTCTGAAGCATGAGGCAAAGGTTACAGGGTATATATATTTTAGCATATGAAAGGGACACCAAAGACATTTTTACCAAATTTTAACGCCTACGGCGTAAATATTTGAAAACGCAACGTGAGGGATATTTGAAAAATGTAAATTCCAATTAGCCTATTGCTCATAGCCAGCAGAAAACGAGGTGTTCCCTAACACCTCTGCTAAGTTTAGATTTTTATTTATGTTACTTTGTTTTGGTATTCGTGTGACAAAACATTTTGCTTTGGCAGATATTTCTCATCTGCCTTGCAGGCACCAACTAAGCCGCCAGCCTTAAAGGAAAACCTACTGAAATAATAACCCTTTTTAAATTGTCAGTTTCTTGGCACAGAAGTGACCCAAGCAGGCAAATGCTATCGCATTCGCTTTCGATTATTCTTTTTACCTTTTTATCTGGATTCCAGAACAAGAAGATAATCATCATTACGTAGTAGGGTGTCCAGCAAATGAGGAAGGCGATAATGATCACCACCGAGATGCGTAAGGATTTCATTTTCGCCTTGTGTATTAGACGCTGCCGGTTGGTCTGGGTGGGTAGCTGTTTCGTCGTCGAATAGTTGGCCAATTTGGAGCCTTGGAACATTTTTTCGCTGCCTGATAAGGTGGAAAAGAAAACGCACAGAAAAAAAATAAATGCCAGCCGGCATTAACATAGTTCCCACTGAAATGTACCACATTCTGGCATGTCCATTTGGAAATCCACTTACTTGAGATGGTTCGAAAGGTTGACATGTAGGTGCCTGAAATATTTAAATTTGTTGCATTTGATTAGCATCCAGATGGACAGCTCCAGTTCTACCTCAACATGTGTATATATGTACTTACCAAATAGTATGCACAAGGGCAGCAAGAATGTGAAGACGAGCGTAAAGGTGGCATACATCTGCTCTTGCCAGTCCGCCGTATAGAAGCCGTGAGTCACACACTGATAGAACTCCTCGACGAAAGGACCTCGCGCCACATGGAAAATAAAGAACTGCGGGTGCCAAATACCAAACGCCGAATTGCCAAATGCCGAATCCCGAATGCCGACGCGAGATGTCGGGTGCCAGATTGTGGTTGACAGTAGCGGCGTGGGTGGAGAGCATTAAAAAAGATGACACAAGAAGTTTGATTAAAATTCGCTCACACAAAAGTACAAATATTCAAGAGTTTTTCTTGATTGAATAATATCAGGTCTTCTTCCTGCATCAATCAAAATGCGAAAGTAAATTCACGAGAAGCGAAAGACGCCGACGGCTTAATACTGTAAAGGTGGAATAATAGAAATATTTCTATGATTGATTACTTTTCAATATCTCAAGAATATCTTCCCACAATGATCTTGTAATCGTATAATCTTAATAATCTATTTCACAAGTCTACGTCATGTTGAGCGTCTTTAGTTTCTATAGAACTTAGTTTGTAACTTTGCCAACAATAAGAGTGAGCTAACAACGGACTGAATATAATGTTTCAGTAGGCACATGTATTTGTGCTCGTCTGATTGTCGATTGTAATCGTAGTTGCGTTCCCATAGAACGCTTACGTTGGATATTCAAATTTGGAAATTGTATGCCCCAGGGAGAGAACTCGTTTTCACATGTCTATTGCATAGATAATTTGAATAATAATAACTTTCAAACACGTTCAGTCTGACCAGCTCATCAATAATTCATTAATCCCATTAGCGTAGTACATTACGATGATAGTTATATGTTTTCAAATCATCCAAAAACCATTAGCTGCCATTTATTGAACTGTTTAATTTTAATTACTTTATATGTTTAAACACTTTGTGCCTTTAAACGCAACATGAGGTGTTACACGCATTAATTTCTTTAGTCTCAACAAAACACGACATTTATGCAATTTTCTTGTTTAACATCAATACATCCAGCGCGTGTGAATGGCAGTTGTGCTTATAACAAATGCATTAAAAGTGTTTTCATTTGAACATTTTATGACTTCCTGGAAGTTCTGCGCGTTGGATGTGTCAACAGCTGTCGCGAGTGTTCGGACGACTAAGCGGCAAAGTAGTAAAACTAAAACACTAAAAGCATGTGGGCGGGCATTAGCATTAGTATCAGCATCGGCATCAGAGTCAGCATCAGCTTTGGCATCGGTATTAGGACTGATTTTTATTAATTTCTGACATTTATAACTTCCACGCAATTGAACGACACAAAGTGCCAAAATGAAGAAGAATAATGATGACAGGGCGAAGACAAAAAGATCCTTCGCCATACAATAAAGAAAACTGCTAAAGCTGTTGGACCATAGATGAATGCATACTCTATGAGTTCAGATGCCTGTTGTGTCTGTTGAGCATATATTCCCTTTTAGTTTGGGTCTTCAATCGCACCTTGTCATGCCTGTCCTATATGTGATGTATTCGAGTTTATTGATGTTTCTCGTATGCTGATGCAAAAAGTGAAAATGAGCCAATAAAACACAATTCATACGAGCTACATTTTGGGGGAACGTTAAAATGAAAAGTCTGCAGCTCTATAAAGTCAAAATACTGTAGCATAGTGTAATAAAAGATGGAAGACGTAAGCATAAACGAAAATGGAACGAATGGAAGAAAAAACAAGAAACGGAAGGACGCACACGCATGTGCACAGCTGCTGGGGCTGGGGATCAACATTTGTTGTTTATTGGCAGTGAAAGTAAATTTTCATTTTGTTTTATTATTTGAGACGCGTGAATTGGAGAAGAGAGAGCGAGCATCGACGCAGCGGGGCGCATATATTGAATTTGAAACGTTGCTTATTGATTACCGAACTGAATGCGTGAGTTTCTCAATAACGGGGCAAACGTGGAAAAGTGCGAAAAGTTGTTCGCAAGGAACTTTTCAAATGATGCCATAGTAGTAAGAGCAAATGGCGTCAAGCTGGAGACGCAGTGTCAAGTATCACGTTTTAATATCGCATTAACTTTTATGTAACATATTCGATGAGCGAAACATTAATTACGTGTGTGTGCGGGTGTGATAGCTGAATTAAACAAGTTTGAATTACAAGCACTTCATGTAAGCAGCTATTTGTCACGTCCCAAAAGCAGTCGCATCGAGTGTGTTTATTTATTCAACTTTAGCATAATCTCTGAGCGGATTCTGCGCCCACGCCCGGAAGACACAAAGATATAAAAAAGATAATTATTCCTAATGCGTGGTATAGCTTTTACACAAGTAAGTGCGCAAGCACACACTCACACTCCCACATAATGCAAATTGCCGCCTAATTATATGCAAACATAATCACGACGCCTCAAATTAGGTATCGCATGCATGGTCATATAGTTAGAGATAAAGCTGGCTGATATGCACTGCTGCTGGCGGCAAGCGGACAAGACGTATTTAGTCAAATACGTAGCATACTTTTCAGCGCTGTAACTGAATGCTCATCTCATAAATATTTTACAAACCAGATAAAGGTATATTCCAAACGTTTGAAAAATGCCATCGGAAGCATGCGAATTCCATGGAATATACTGACACCCAAGCTTCACCTGCCAGAGCACCCACATATGTATGCAGATAGCCTAATGGCACCTTCTTGAAAGGAAGAAAGGTCACATTCTTTGTAATCTCCTGTCAAGGGTCCTGTTACTGTATTTCACAAAAGCATGAATGTTGGGCACCTCTTCAAGGCGCCCTAGATACCCAAAGAGCCTACCTGAAAAGCAATTTTGTAAAAAAATATGTCAGTTTCCATATAACTGCCAATTTCGTGCTTGTTGGAGCCAAGAGTTGTCTGCTGATGTGGCATTTAAGTAAGTATTATTTGACTCCCATGCATAGTATTATCAAGGAGTTTATTCAAGTGCGTAGTTACCATTAGATACAATCTTATTCCGCCCTCACAGACCAGTCGAATATCCTTTGCAAAGCTAAGCATCTACAACCTTCTAACAATGCTTGTATTTACTATTCATGAATTTTTCATTTCCCTTCTTGTTCATCAAATAGTTCAACAAATGTTAACGAAAGCAACAGATTCATTTACAAAGGAATGGTAGATGAAGCAGGAACTGATGGCAGTCTTTGTCTGCCCCATTCATTCGCAAGCCTTCAGCGGCAGGCTTTATTTTGGTAATTGATAAATTGTAAAAAAAATATTTAATTGGCAACAGTGCTAATTGATTTGAGCTTAAGCGTACCACAAACAGAAAGCGACTATAATTAATCAAGCAGCTAGTTCATTGAAGACGTAATGCCAGCTAAGCAACACAAAACCGCAGAACTTGGCAGTCAGTTGTTCCCTTGACAACTGCCTTGACTCACTCAATGCTCCCATATGAATATAATTTCAACTGGTACCTCTCAGATAGACTATTTATTATAAGTGTTTCATGGCGTAGCCAAATAATCCTTTATGATATGCCAAACAAGCAGCTCGCATGACTGAAATGAGTGTTTCCCTAATCTGCAGATTGTGGTGTAGCGTTTGCAGATTCAAAGGCTATTAAAGTGTCAGTGGGCCATAAATCTGCCGGCCAACTCAATTAGATATGCAATCAAGCGACAAACAAAAGCCGAAGCACACCAAATAAATAATGCAATAAAAGTGTGAAAATAAAGAACTACAACAGCAACAACAACAACAGCAGCAGCAACGGAAACGGCAACAGCCAAAAGAACAACCAAAAAAAAAGAAAATGGTCAAATGTGTTTGTTTATTTTTTTATCCGCTTCCGTTTCTTTTGACTTTTTGTTTGGCTCCGTTATGATTAAAGATGAGCAAAAGCAAATGTATTCGAGCAGATAAGCACCTCGCAGCAGAGGACAAAAATCTGAAGCAATCTGCCAGATTCCCGGAAAGTATGCCGAGCAAATAAATATTTCATTTCTGTTGTCAGTGCACGAATGTTTACTGCTCTCGTTGGCAAACCCTTTGCCCGAACAGCTGAATATACTCTATCGGAAAGGTCGCACAGTGGGTGAGAGATATGTGGTGCCGGAGCACGTGTGGTAGGCGTACCGATACCCAAAGCAACGTTTAGCTAACTCACATCCAACGGGCAATCAGTTTTAATGCCAGCCCACGCACCGACGCCCTCATCGGAATATTTACGCGCAGCCACGGGGCGTATTCCGTATGCCATAAAGCAAACATATTACTCCAACTTCGGCGCACATGCAGAGTTAAAGCATCGGCCCGCGGCCCAACTGCTGGTCTGGCTTGACTTAATGGCAGGCGACAAATTGCTGCATAAGTTGCCAATTGTTTACTGGGCGGAATGTTTGGAAAGCGTCGGATAAAGAGCAAACAGTATTAGAAATTTGTATGAAATCAATGTGAATTGATTTCTATTTGGTTTTGGATTTGACGCTGTATTTTGCAATTCAGAGCTGAGCTAGATAAGCTAAATAATAATTTACCTGGGGCAGGCTGAGCACCAGAGAGAGTATGTAGGTGCCGCCGAGCAGCCGATGACAGCGCTTGGCCATGTTGAGCGACTTCATGGGATACTTGACAGCTATCCAGCGATCGACACCGATGAGAACCAGCACATAGGTTGATAGGTAGAGGCTAAACATTTGAAACAGCTTCACAAGTTTGCAAGTAAGTTCGTTTGCCAACCACTGAACCGTGTAGCTCCAAGCTGCCTCGCCGATTAGGCAGAACCCAGTGACCAGGACGTCAGCAATGGACAAATGAAACATCAACGAGTAAATGGCGCTCCAAGTGTGGCGGGAGTTGCGCCGCGTAATGCGCGTCTTGTATATATTCCATATGGTCAGAAGGTTGCCCAGCATTGAGAAAAGTGCCATTACCGCCAACACATAAACCTTCAGCATGCCGGAGCGTGACAGCTGTGGTGCATGATCCATTACATGCTCCGGGACCTGCTCCGCTAACGGCGATAACTCGTGCAGACTGTTGATGGGGCCGAGCGCTGAGCTATTCAGGCGTGAGTTTGTCATAATGGCATAAGCTGCCTCAAGGTGACTATTACTGCCAACCACTGCAGCTTCTGTGCTGGTGCTAGCTTCAGTGGCCAGTGCAAGGCCAGCATCCAGGATCTTGAGCGTGTAGTTGGCAATGTTGGGGGTCACTTCGGTAGCGGCTGCAACAAAAAGTCGTGTGAAATTCGCTGCGGTTGACCAATTACTCTCTATCTCATTATATGCTGCACTGTCCAACAGATCTGTCCCAACAACAGAAGATGAGTTGTTAACAAGCAGTCGCAAATGTGTAGAATCCTCAAAATCGTCCATTATTTAGTATATGGGTAATACTTTCTTGGTTGCAAAGTGAGTTTGGTGGTTTCGGTGGTATTTAGTAGTGCTCCTGTGAGCTTTTTCCGTTTCCGCGCTCGATGTTAAGCTCTATTTTCATGTTCTGGCAGCAAATGAGTGTGGCTCCCCATTGTAGTTGGGAAAGCAGTTTGTACCGCCCTGAAAATAAAATAGTTAACATTTTGCTTTAAATTCACATTAAATTAATTTGTTATGCAAAAGGATTACAGCATATTATAAATATTATAAATATTATAAATATTATAAATATTATAAATGCGAAAGCTGTTACTTTGGTTTACATCTTTCATGCAAATTACCATGGGCTATAATTAATTTTTTGAAATTTACGATAAATCGACTTTATATATTAATTTAAATCCACACAATCACATCAAACATTTTGCAGCTATAACACGTAAATGTTTTTGACAGCATATCATTTGCTCATTTGCTAGTTGTGGGTTTTGCCACTCTAGTAGCTAAACTCTAATTTGCACAACATTTATTGATCTAACTTTCCGGGCAATTTGATGCTGATGCAGACAATTTGAATTTTATAATCTTACTGTTACAGCATCGAAGCCGTCGTTGACCCTTGCCACACAATTAAATGACCGTAATTACAAAGCCGTTCATTAAGTAAAAGTGGTTAATGCCATTCAGCTCGGTTGCTGGTTGCGGTCAGCTTGTGGCTGGTTACTGGTTGCTGGTTTCTGATAGCTGGGACATATAGCGATTAAGCGCGTCCACCGAGAATTTCAGTCCAAAGCTCACAAATTACCTTTAAATGCGACGTTGCGCTTGCTTCACTGCCATTGACAGAGCTTCAAAGCGTCGTTTTGCAGTGCAAGTTCCAAGTAAAATTCCATAAAATTGAATTTTCTCATATAATTTATGAACATAAATTAAATAGAGACCGTGTCATGTTATTTCACCTGCAATATGGTAATGAAAAGCAAAAAACAATCCCAAGCAAAACATACAAGGGCCACTATTATTTCAAGCTTAAAATAAACCATAAGAGATGTGTGCATTTTTGATGACAGTAGACCACTTGGATTCATTATCCTGTCTTAGTGTGTTGCATCGAGCTACAACTAGATTATAATGGATAATTGTACAAAAAGGAATTGCTAATTGGCGTATCGACGTAGATGCGATTATCTTAGAAAGAGGTACTACAAAATTGATTGTAATCAAAGTAGATTTAATGTGAAAGAAACTGCTTTAATTAAAAAGCTAATGCTCAACGTACTAGCTTCAATATAATTGATGCTTACGTTTTACTATTGGCTCTTTCTAATTGACTTTAATTGCCAGCTAATGCTCGCCAGCATTTCATTATATTGATAGATTGCTAAAATGCTAGATTGCCTTTTAATCACTTCGTTTATATATATACATATATGTATATATAGATATATAAGTGCAAAATAGCCTCTATTGTCAATCAGTTTACGTTGGCCGCGTGCTTGGGTTTAAAATTCTTGTAGCGCTTAATCAACATGATTAATATACAAATGCGCATTTGATTGATCGAGCCAGCCGCCCAGTCAAAATGAAATACACATGAGCCCCGGGGTCATCGTTTGAGAGGTTGAGCAGCACATGCACCAGAGTAATGCGATTTGCATATAATGTGTCAAAAATTGAAGGCCCAAGAGCACCAAATGAGGCGAAACTTCTTTCAGTCCAATGTCTAGACGACCCTTGGACCAGTCGGTATTTGCATTTTAAGTTAGCTGCCAAGGCACAGGACATTAAAAGGACTTACGACAATTAGGGCTATTTGTATGTAATGTATTATACATCCAAATCGAACTCTAGAGGGTAGATACTTTCCATGAAATCAAATGACTTAAGACCATATTTCTTCACTCAATTAATTATGATAAATAACCAATAATTATAATTATTAATAATCAGTGCAGCAGAAGTCATATTATTGCCAGTATCATGTATTGCTGCAGGCCTCTTTTGTTGAAGCTGGCTACCACTGCGTATACGCAACTTGCTTTTTGTCACTGCTCTGAAAATAATTAAAGGGCATGCCCATCGTTCTGGTGTTTCATTAAAGATAACTAACTCATTTCTTAAATAACTGTTGAAAAGTTTTCATATTATGCTGTGGGTAGCAAAATTGGCATTGTTATTGTTAATAGATTAGCCGCAGGACACTTCGTGTGGCGATTATATGCGGTCTTCTTCTGTAAACAGAAAGTTTTAAGCTATGCAAAGCACATTTAGCATGGTCTGACGTCAACCACAAACCACAAAGTTTTGTAAATCTGCATCAGTTGATTGCATTTAAAACTCAAAAAATCAAGCTGATGGGCAAAGGCTCTTCTGGCACACAGACACCCACTGTCATTCCATAAGTCATCTGTTGAAATTGATAAGCTGATATTATAGAACTATGTGGGTATCATGACCTTTCAGTATTACATGACTACTTTCATTTCAAATTTGAATCATGATTTTCAATGGTTTGAATAATTAATTAATTAGTTTGAAATGAAAATTAGCTGAAATTATTAATAATCAGACTTGATGCTGTCTAGAACCGCAGTATACACAATTTAGGACTTTTAAAGTAATTAATATTCTCGAGTAAGTAAGGGCAGGTATCTACTTACATTAAACGCGATTGTGTTCTAGATAGAATATATACAAGACTAAATATACAAGCAATTGACAGAGAGAAACTTTGAATTGAATTGTCTTAGTCTGAAAAAAGTTTGGGCATTAGCTGAGACTGAATTAATTCGAAATTTTTTTTTGTTTTTGCTTTGTTTTTACTTTTTTGTTATTAGTGGGTTTCTCTTTTCGTATTGGAATACAAGTTGAGAAAAGTTCAAACTGATGCAGCGCGTCAATTGTTTGTGCTTTCGCGGCTTCGACAAGCATTAAAACAGTTCGCTGTCAAGCACACTGAGAAAAAAACATGATGCTTGTCAAATATTCTCTTAGCCTTTGGCAAACAGTCGAGCTGACAAAAGCATATTAACTTCTTTAATTTTAACACAAAAGCTGCGCGTTTATTTGCTCACATTCTGGATGATATGTACTCTGACTTTTTAGCTTTGTCTAAGTTGAAACTGCGGTTTATTTGCACAGTTGTCCCGCTTCGCACACAAATGCACTCAACACACACACACACTTAAAAATAACAAAGTACCAGCCACATATACGCAGTTAAAATGATATACTATATGTGTATATATACTGATAATATATGTAGTATTTTGAATGTGTTTTCAGCATTAGATCGAATAAAAACGGCGTGTGTTTTCAGTTCAAATATTAGCATGTTATATATATAGCAAATAATAATTTTCGACATGAATTTAAAATTTGGTATTGTGAGGTTTTAATATTTGCACAATTTGTTCCGTTTGCTTTTTCTGCGCAACAAATACGAATTCACATAAAGCTTTGAAAAGCCACTGCCACACATACACTCACACACATAAATATACAGCTGGTAAGCAGTTAATAATTTTTCAAATACCTATTAATTATTCAATTTATTTTCTTGATCCACTTGCCTTTGTGTAAGCGAATTTGAATTTAAATTTTTAACTGAGTATATATTAAACTGTATTTATATTACATTTAGATTCAATAAAGTTAAGTCAATGCAATCACAACTTTCAGAACTTGCTCTTAGGTATTAAGTAAGTAAGAAGCTTTTAACATTCAATAACTATTTATATATATATTGTAGGTATTTGTACACTTAATCAACAAAATACAACTCCTTAAATTTGTATTAACGCACAATCATTTATTGACAACTTTCACTTCTTTATTGGCACTCGTCGAAATCTTATCTTATCACTGTCTTCGCTGGTGTTACCAACTTCAATATGGTATGAAGTTGGCGCGTTACTTCTGCATATCACTGAAAACCGACACGACTACCGTTGCGCCACATCGAGTACTGGCAACTGGCAACTGACGTTCCGTTTCGTTCCGTTCAGTTGAGTTGTTCGTTGCGAACTGTTCTTCGGGCACACGAGACTCGGTCGGTTAGCCGCGCCATTCGAACTTGTTTGCCATGCTCAAGTCGCAAGCTCTTTCATTCATAAAATCTCAGCTACAGGCAGCAAACATCGGCAGGAATCTTCGTTCAGCAGCTCAGACAACACGCAACATGTTGGCGTTGCTTTCAATTACATTTCTGCACGCTCACAAAGGCAACTACTGAAGGGCAATGCTCGACGGACGTAACTCATACGCACCGTACATCCGCTACCTTCTAGGTCTCAATGTCGAGCTTCCTGTTAGACGAAAATAACTGTTGGTTTGCATATGTAAGTACGTATGAGTCTTACATACGTATTTATAGGCGAGTGCCTACGTTCGAGGACAATGAATTTTAGGAGCGTAGGTGAAAATTAATTTGCTTTTGTTCCTTTATGATTGTATCACAAAATTAAGTAGCAAACAAACTATTTAATTGTCTAGCGCTGCAACTGCTGTTGATTTTATTCTGGCATGCTTAATATACATATATTCTTCAGCTAATTAAAGCGCTGCGCAAACAATTTACTATCTACCACACACGCGCATTCAAATTAATTAACTAAACTGAATTATCCCGGCAACATGCTAAATAGTAAAAGCTGTTCGCTGTTGTTTTTGTGGTGGGCATTGCACAATGGAGTGGCACACGTTTTGCTCAGTAAAGCAGAATAAAGCAGAGCCAAGCGTGCATAATTACATTTTATACCCTCAAAAGTGTACAGAAATAACATCAATTGCTTCTAGGAGCTCTTAAGGAAGGAAATAACATGGTTTGGAAAGTATGTTTGATCATCGTTTAAGCTTCAAATTATTTTGCAAATACAGTTTCAGTATGTTTCAAACATCCCTTACTTAATATCTTGCTGATATTTTGCTTGACGGATACTGTTTAATATGTCAACGTTTGATATTTACTTTTAATAGGATTACGTTTGACACACCTGTCAACAGACAACTGTTCGTCAAAATACATCTTTTCGCAGGCGCCATGCAATGTTGACAAATTATGCTTTTGGGAAGCTGGACAAGCAAGCAAGATAATGCCCGACCTTTGTGTAAGCAACCGCTATTATCATCGCTAAAAGCTGTTCCCGAATGGTTAGAGTTGCGTCAACCACAGCAGCGACTGTTAGATAGCGAGCTGACAGCCGCATATAAGTTGCCCCACTAATCCTTTATGCTGTCGACTTAGGTTTCTCTCTCTCTCTCTATCTCTACCCATTGGCAATCCCGTTGCCCCCGTTACGTAAGCCAAAACTATTTTGTGGTCAAGGCTAAATTTAAACTGCATGAATATTTAAAATCATAAGCAGTAGTAGGCGCGGTTAAGATCCCTGGGCGCAAACTTCTTGGCAACCTTATTCGCATCCGCAGCTACCTCCACTTCCGCATTCCATTTTGAATATCTAAACTTAAAGCACAAAAGGGCCTGCCATGTGTGTGCGGCTGGGACGCGGACAAATGCATAATTTGGCATACAGAATTATGGGCGGGAATGGAGACGCTTCTAGTCACCATCCAATTTCTCGGGTGATTTATTTCTTTTTTGGCCAAAGTTGACACAGCTCTTGACTCGGACTTGGCCCCGGATTATTGCTTTGTGCCTAAGCAGGAAAAGAGCCTCGGGAGATGGGCGTATGCTGAATGAATGAATGAGTAGGAAAAAAGTTGACAGTCTTGCGTAATCTATAGAGTGTTCATGCAAAGCAGATTTTTGTTTTCTTATGTATATATTTATGTGATGACAAATATTACCAGCCAAGCCCGGGCCGAGTGTGTGGGCTCCTGTGTCTACTTTGGATTTAAAAAATGTATGCCAAAGTTTACTGATTACTCATGAACGGGGGATATCACACCCTGAAACCTTTTTTCATAATGCTATTGCCACGTGCTGCACTTGACTAACGTGCTGTCAAAGAGGCACTTGTAAATAATACAGATCATGACCAGTAGCGAAATTCCAAATTGGCTTACGCTGAAAACACACGCCCAACTCCAGCCCCAAACCCCAAACCCTAAACATCATTTACACCCCTACAAATTGATTTTACCAAGCTGAATGCTCAGCGTCCGGCCGTAAGTTAGTTAGCCCGTAACTGTTGGTATCGCAGGCACTTACTGGGGCTTGGGTGTGGCAGCCACAGCTTCTTGCATTGAGTAAGCAATGATTTTCACTTGGGCTTTCGCTTTTATCATGATTTTTTCTTGTTTTCTTCCTTCGCTTTCCGTTTGAAATAACTTCCCCTTTGCTTCTGACATCTTCCATTCGCGCACATTTGGAAGCATTCCGGCACAAATGCTGCTCATTTTGTTAAGTATTTCAACATATTTTTATTCCACCCAAGCGGGATTTTACTTTGTTTTCATTTGTTGGTTCCATTTGGGCTGCTTCTTTTTCTCTTTTGCAAGATTCAAACTACTTTATTTGGTTAACTGTTTGTTTGAAGTGCCGGCCAGCTTTAAGCAAGGAAAATACAGTCTAAGCAAACACGCTTAACCTTGCCGAAATGGCAAACGGTTCTTTTACTATATACACATTTATTTAACTGGGTTTGTCCCAGCTTACTTGTAGAGGAATTAAGTCAAATTATGTTCACGCGTGGCTTAAAAATTATTAAAAACTTCAATTACCCGCAGAGACCTTACACATGGGCGTTGCTATGGATACCTGCTTAACGCCATATATTATTCCACACGTGTAAACATTTTCCGTGCTCCAATTTAATCTGATATTAATCGAATGCTTGCACTGAATCTGGCTTATTTGTTTATTATTTGTACAGCTTTGAATATATTAAATTTCATCAAAAAAGAAAGATTCTTTTTGGTAAAAATAAGCAAATAAAATGCTGTGCTCTCTCCACCCTGCTTTAAAATCTTAAATAAAACCAAGACAAAAATTAAATGCAGCCACAACAATTAATGCCTCAAGCAGTTTGTCAGGAAATTGCTATGTATAGCAAAGGACCCTTCTGTATATGAGGATATTTACCGTATGTAATTTTTTTATGTGCTCAGAAATGCTTTGGTAAATTTAATTACATTTTCTCACATTCATGTGTACTAGCTGCAAAACATACATTCTAGATCAACTTAAAAACTGTCACAAGCAAAACGAATTGCTTGATGTCATCACAACTCGTCTTTATAAAGCAATTAAACAGTTGATAGCCTAACGACACTCACATAATTAAAACGAAGAGCTCAGCCGTCACGCTCACCTCTTACACAAATCAAAAATGTGAAATCATTTGTATAATTCTGTGCGATAATGACACCTCCACTAGTAACAGAGTCTAAAAATAATTATGCGTTTTATCATATTGACTTTTCAAGAATACATCCTGCGTCATTTCTTGGATTTTCTGGCCATTTTGGCTTTATAATTTTTGTGTTTTATGGCTTGCCAGTCGGCTAAATGACGTGTATGCTCATAAAAACATTTGTTTAACTGACTTGTCAAGTGCTAATTAAACATTTTTAAGGCCCGTCACATAAAGTCGTCATAAATGCTGGCTAATAACATTTTTGAGTCATTTACAGAGCATGTGGAGTGCGTGCCCAGATTGCAAGAGCCTTGGCAATGTCGCAACCGAAAGTGAACTTTAAATACATACGTAAATAATAAGTACAGCGTTTCCTTTTTTGGGCTTGGACTGGGGCAGCCGGCCAATCAACCCTCTAAATATGTCAAACTTACCCAAATCAGTCAATAAACAGCAAATGCGACGGCACGTGGGCTAAATTGACAATTCGCATTCATAATTTTTGTCTGCGCCTCATTTGGGTCCCGTTGACCTTTTTCGAAAACAAAAGGGTTTCTTAGCCTCGTCTAGGAGGACAAAAACAAATTTATGATGTAAGCTCAATATAAACCCACTTCAAGGACAATCTATTTGAACGAAGTTGACGGAATAGATTTTGATACCTCAGTGGGTTTGTGGATCAAGCTGACTTTGGAGTAATGCTTTAAATCCAGCTGGCAAATCAATTTTAACTAACACCCATAGTTGCAAATTAACACGTTTCCATGACAACGACTGCGAGAACGACAACGGTAATGATATCGATGACTGGATTCTCATTATTCACTCTGCTCATTAATCATACGCCCCGTGTTTAAACTGTGATCAAGCATATTGAATTTATATTGAATGGAGTGCAAACAACAGAAGCCCAAATGCGCAAATCTCGATGCAAAGCACATGCCGCCCATTTGCCTGCTGTTTAAGCTAAGAGCTTTCTCACCTGCCACGAACAACACTCGGTGTGGGAGTTTTGTTAAATGAACTTCAGCTAAGAATCAGGCTTGTGTTTTGCTTTCTTTTGCGTCGCTTCGTGTTTTCCATTCATTGTACTTGCAGTCAACGTCTCAATCGAATACAAAAGAAAATAACAAATACTTAAGCTCACGCCGAAAATGGGACCAAGCTCTTAACATATAGCCAACAAAATATCAGGCTGGTACTGTAGCCCAGAAACCCTGAAATAAACAATATTTTTGTATCGCTCGTATATTTGCCTTTGGCTGAAACCATTCCAGGAATTGCGGAAACTTGTTGAAGCATTAAAAGATAATAGATCTAAGCTTAATGTTGTTGCAGGCGCTATTCTCGCACCTGAAACAGAACATGACCCAAATTCTCAGATAACCTGTCCGTAATTAGGGGCCACTTGGCCGCCAAGCGGGAAGCAAATATGACACTTAACGTCGCCACGAGCTTAAGCAGCTTATGGCTCAATAATAAATAACAATTATTTAACTCGCTCTAATGATGGCCTTGTCTGACTGCCCCAGCCCACGAAGAAGCAGTTCGTCAATTAGAGAACATTAATAGGCAGTCGCCGGGCCATATGTATTAATTAAGGAAAAACGTGAAGGGCTGTCGCATTTTACCATGTTGGACCCCACATGTTAGTGGCATGTGTTCATGTGGCGTTTGACATTATTTTTGCGTGG